ATTTTGTTAAAAAAAACAATTAGAAATATTATATAATAGTAATTTTTCATTTTTAAAATCCTAAATAAATGATATTTACAAAAATAATATTTGATAGTAACTTTCCATTTAATATTGTGGCATGTATTAAAATTTTCATGATCAAAATTATATATACTAAGATAATAAAAAATAATTTCAAAGATATTAATTATTAAATTTTTTTAAAATTAAAAGAAAAAAAGAAGATAAAAGTTTTTAATTGTAGTTTTCCTTTTTACAAATCCTAAACACAAAGATTTAAAATTTTTTTTAAAAAAAAACTAATTTTGACAATAATAATTGTAAATATTGTTTAAAAGTAAAAAAATAAAAATAAAGAGTGTTTAATTGTATTTTTTCTTTTTTACAAATACAAAATAACAAACTATTCGTAAAATAGATTATTATCGATTTTCCTTTTCTAAAATTCTAAAAAAAATATTATATGATAGTAATTTTCCTATTAGAGTCTTACATATTTAAAAATATATCATATTAACAAAATATACATACGAAGAAAATGAAAATGATTTTACAGATAAAAATAAGTTTTAAAATTTTTAATAGAAATTTTTCTAAATCATTTTGTTTTAAAAAATTTCAAACAAATAAAGATTTGCCAATTTATTTGATACTAATTTTATTTTTCCAAAATTCTGAATAAAATATATTTTTTAAAAACACTATTTTATAGGAATTGTTTGTTTCTAAAATCTTGAACATAAGAGAATTATTAAAGAATGTTTCATAGTTTTTTTTTTTTAAATCCTAAACAAAAATTATTTGTAGAATAATTATTTCAAATATTTTTATGTTCTTTTCTTCTTAAACCGATGATAATTTTTAATATATTTTAAGATGATAAATGAATTTTAAAGATATTAATTTTAAGAAAATAATTAAAATAAAAAAAGAACTTATAAGTTTTGAATTGTAGTTTTTTAATAAAAATCCGATAAAAAAATATTTAAAATAATAAAAAAGGAATTTTAAAAATATTAATTTAAAATGTTGTTTAAAAGTTATTTAAAAAATAAAAGGGTGTTTAATTATAGATTTTCTTTCAACAAATTCTAAGAAAAAATATTCTTAAATTAATATATTTATTACCAATTTGTCTTTTCTAAAATCTTCAAGAAATTATTATTTGATAGTAATTTTCCTTTCACAATTTATATATATATATATATATACATATATATATTAAAATAAATCATGTTTAACAAAATTTATATACTAAGATAATGAAAACGATGTTTACAAATAGTTTAGTTGATACTAAGTTAATGAAAACAAATATTTTACAGTAATTTTTCTTTTCTAAAATCTTTAACATAAAAAAATTATAAAAGAGAGTTTAATAGTAATTTTCCTTTTTTCAAATCCTAAACAAAAACAAATTGTAGAATAATTCTTTCAAATATTATTTATGTTTTTTTTCTTCTTAAGCTGATGATTATTTTTAATAAAAATATACTAAGATATTCAAAAAAAATTGAAGATATTAATTTTAAAAATTGTTTAAAAGTAGAAAGAAGAAGTTAAAAGTGTTTAATTGTAATTTAAATTTTTACGAATTCTATTTAAATAATAAAAACGAATTTCAAAATATTAAATTTCAATATTTGTAAAAAAAATAAAAATAAAGGGTGTTTAATTGTAGTTTTCGTTTTTGCAAATCCTAAAAAAAAAACAAATCTTCGTAAAGTATATTATTAATTACCAATTGGCTTTTCTAAAATTCTAAAGAAAATATTATTGTCAAAGATTATTTGATAGTAATTTTGCTTTTAAATTTTTATATATGTTAAAATAAATTCTTTTTAAGAAAACATATATACTAAGATGATAAAAGGGATTTTACAAATAAGAGTAATTTTAAAAAAGAATAATTAATAGCAATTTTTATAAACCATTTTATTTTACAAAATTTAAACAATAAAAGATTGTCAAAATAATTTATTTGATACGAATTTCCCTTTTCTAAAATAATAAAAAAAATGTAATTGAATAAAATATTTGATACTAATTATCCTTTTCTAAAATCTTGAACATAAGAAAATTATCAAAAAATGTCTAATAGTAGTCTTCCATTTTTTAAAAACCTAAAAAAATTATATTTGTAGAATAATTATTTGAAATATTTGTTATGTTCTTTTATGCTTAAACTGGTGATGATTTTTATTGTTGTTATATTTGTCATATTGCCGTACGTTAGTTATTGCCATAATTATACTTAGGTGTTTGTATGTAGGATACATGTTTTGATATTGTACGTTAAGTTAATGTGCCTATTATGCTTTTGTGTGTTTGTTTTATAGACGTTATAAAATTAGTTATGCTGTTTTTTTTTTATTGAATTTCAAATTACTTATGTTGTTGTAGTTAAGTTAATGTCAATGCCCGTTGTTACCTTTGTGTACCATTTTGCTTATTTCTGATTGTTAAATTATTTAATTAAAAACCTTAACTGTAAAAATAGTAATGATACCAATTGTAAAATAGTAGTTAATAAAAATATTTAATAGTATTGAAATAATTATTTGATAATAATCTAATTTCGGTAATTCTAAATAGAAGATAATTGTAAATGACTGTATGATAGTAATCTTTATTTTCTAAAATCTTAAACAAAAATGTAAAATAGTATTTGATAGTATTTTTGTTTTTTAAGTTATAAATAAAAGAGTTTATAAAATATAATGTTTTATTTTTCAAAATCATAAGAAAAAGAATTTTTTGTAAAATTATTTAATAGTAATTTAAAACATAGAGATTTTGATGATAAACACGATACTAAAACAATTTAATTAACTAAAAAATCAAAAATAGGATTTTATCGTGATTGGTCTTTATATTGGTATTTTTATGCGTTTGGTCATACAAAAACAAACACATGTTTGGTATATTATTGTGTTTAGTCATAAAAAATAGATTTTTATTATTATTATCAACGTAAATGATTTTATGTGTTTAGTCAAAAAGAAATCATATTTAATCGTCATCTTATTACATTTATGTTTTAATATATAGTATTTCTAATGTAGTTTATTAAACTGTTGTTATGAAAATATATCATTAAAATGAATTTAGAAAAATATATAATAATAGACAAATTTAATAAAATGGTCTAATTGTTAGTAGAAAATGAGAAACAAATAATCTGAAAATAATTATTAATTAAGTACACATAGGAAAAATCACAAATTCAAAAACTGAAAAAAAAAACTAAAGAATTTTTTTGAAATACTATAGCTTTAATACTACATAAAAACTCCATAACATCTGAATTTAGTGTGTAGAGTTTAATATTTAAAGGATGAAACTAAAAATTCCAAATGATATATATGATATTAAATATCATATACTTAAAATGAAATCAGAAAAAAAAATTAATTACTTCTAAGATCGTTTTCTTCAACCTTATTACAATATATAATAAAACAATTTGTTAATTGATTTTAAGATTTATCCTTACAAATTAAGAAGTGACAATTATATGATATTGTCTTACAAATTAAGAAGTGACAATTATATGATATTTTCATTGACTTGATTGACCTTATTTAACTTTCATTTTTTTATTTCACTCCAATTCTTATTCCGAACTGGATTTGGTTTAAATTTTTAGGTATGCGTATTTTTTCTAGACTTAGGTACAAAGTTAAAAACAATTCACTTATGTACCATGATTATTAAAATACAAAAAATTACCAATATTTATGTGGGTGAACAAATTCTAAATTCGGATATAAATCTCACACAATATATACAAAAATAATCCTAAAATATAAAATAGTTTATTGTTTTATATTCTTTGTAAAATTAAAACATCAAATAAAATCTGTACTTATTAAAATATAAATATTAATCAAAACTTTTATGGAAAACGAATTCTTAATTTCTAGAATAAATCTCACAAAACATAAGCAAAAAATGATAAAACTAAAAAATAAATTATTATTTTTATATTTTATAAATATTAAAATATCAAATAAAATCCGTGCGACACACGGGCCATATCTAATTAGATATAATAGACTATATGACTATGTATAAAGTTTCTATACTAATCACATTATAACCAAATAAATGATGTTGTTATTGTTTTCTCTGCATTTATTATTATTATTACTATTACTATGAAAAAGTATTGAATATATTTTTTTGCTTATGGCAACAAAATTCATTCGCACGGCTTTGAGGAGAGCACTAGTCGATTTTAGCTTTGGCATATAAACTATCTGCTATATCTTTTAATGAAACGGTCGTTAAAAAACGAATACTAGCCTTGACTTATCACCGAGCTTCTAAAAAAATTATAGAAAAAGAGTAATAAAGTAAAATGCGACAAAAAAATTAAATACAACAGTATAATACAAAAATAAAATTATTTTATTTAAATGCAAAAATTTAATATATTTTTAGTGCAACAATTTAATTCAAAAATATTTTTTAATTCAATAGTTCAGTACAATAATGAAAATTATTATTCTAAATGCAACAACAATTTAATAAAAATATTCTATTTTAAATGAAACAATTTAACACAAAAATATAAAAATAATTTTAATCAGTAAGAGCAAAAAAAAAAAAAATCAAAATCATTGGTCCCTGTTCTCCGGTGCCGGCACCCACCGGTTTATAATCAATCATCTATTCAATTTCCGACCATCCTATATATTACTCTATTCCAATAAATTTTAAACTCCAAAACTAACAGAAAATTATAAACGTCAGAGATGTCCCCGGCAGAAACAGTCAAATCTGCAACAATATGGTTAACAAATCTTTATCAATACTATTATTATTCTTATCATAAAACCCGAAATGACAGTCTAATAAAATAATCATAGCATCATATAATTCATATTATAATAAACTGATAAATAATAATATCAGTAGTGTTTTAATGATATATGTGTTTGGGTTTCACATGCTTTATAAGCAAAGTTCTGTGTGTGTGGTGGACCTGACCCTTCACGCTGTCCTGAGAAAGACTCTTTTTTTTCCTCTCTTCCTCACAGACTCTCTCATTCTCTACCCTGTTATTTTTTCTCTTGTGTTCTGAGAAAGATATATGTTTTAATCTTAACAATCGTTTTTGAGGAAGAGATGGGAAATTGTCAGGCGGTTGATGCGGCGGCGTTGGTTTTACAGCATCCCGACGGTAAAATCGATAGATATTACGGTCCTGTCTCTGTCGCCGAAATCATGCGTCTATATCCTGGTCATTACGTTTCTCTTATTATTCCTTTGCCGGAGACAAATATTCCAGAGAAGACCGCGGCCGAAGATGCTTATAGTCAGAGAAGGGTCGTGAGGTTCACGCGCGTGAAACTTCTCCGACCAACGGAGAATCTCGTACTTGGTCATGCTTACCGCCTCATCACTTCACTAGGTTTGATTATTATTTAAATACACTTTAAATCTATTTATAGGTTTTTTGCGTCTTCTAATGTTTTTAATTAAATTAATTCAGAGGTTATGAAAGTTTTAAAAGCAAAGAAGTACGCGAATACAAAGAAGCAGCAGAATGAAACGACTAGAGAGGAGAAGAAGGCATCGTTGGAGAAGAACGTTGATGACGAATCCGACAAGAATCAGAATCTGGTACGGAATCTTTAACGATAAGATTTAAGAAAGTCAGTCACACACACAAAAAAGAATCTTTAACGATAAGAAATGTTTTAGCTAAAGGATTAAGCTTTAGATCAAGCTTCATCATATGCTTTTCCTGGACTTGAGCACAGTAGATTAATTTTTTTTCTGTTAACTGAGTATTTTTTTTTTCCTTTTTTAATAGGAATCAAATGATGAGAAGCAACGTACAGTGTTAACAAGCTCAGGTTCGTCCAAATCAAAAACATGGAGGCCATCATTGCAGAGCATTTCTGAAGTTACAAGCTGATCTTTATTTTAGTTTTGCTTGAGGGACAGAAACATAGTCTCTGTGGAGACCATCTGAAGATAAAGAGATATAAACTCTTCTCTTTTAGGTTCTTTTCTGGTTTTTACTCGATCGAGAGGAAAAACTCTAGAGATTCAAAACCGAGTCCCTTTTCTCTTCTCGCCAATGTATATAAGTTCTCAAGCTGAAGAAATCGATTAAAAAGGAATTGTGAAACAGATATTTAGAAAAAAAACAGAGATTTATTTGACAATTATTATGTTTTTATTTCTGAATGCCTAGGCAAGAACATATATGTTCAATGTGTCCAAAAACTTTTGATTTGGATGTCTGTAAAGCATAATATGGTTGTAAGAATTTCATTGAGTTGGAGAGGTACGAGTAGGTAACACATCTTTTCAAACATTTATGGGAAACGTTTTTTCAAAAATAAGTGACAAAATTTATTTTTGGGATAATTTGTTTAAAATGACCCAAAATTTGTGAATGCAAATCTTTACTTTAAATTCAAACAAATGCAAAATGAACTTAAAAATATATTAAAGTTACAACTATCCATCTACGACCAAATTAACCAAAAACCTGTAATTGTTTTTACAATTAGTCGTATGAGAAGACTTCTCAAAGAAGACTACTTATAAACTTATTTTTCTAATTAATTTCTAAAACTTCGAAAAAATATTTTGATGAAAAGAAATTGAAATCATGTAAAGATAGACAATTGTAAATCATGTAAACTTGTTTTCTTTACTCTCAGTGGCCATCTGTGTTGTCTTGTTTCCTTTACTTTAAGTTTCTTTTGCATTTCTTTCTTTAGATCCGTCCAGCTGTTGGAGTTGGATCATTGAATCAATGTCTTCTCTGTATTTTGATTGAATCAAACCCAGCGTTAAAAAAAATTTCATGTAAACTTGTGCAGATATTGGGAACTTTATATGTTAATTTTATGATTAATGAAGAATTTATTGCAATTTAGTTCACTTATTTGATTTTCAGGTTTAGGGATAGGAGATTTAGTAAAGAAGTCTGTCAATAAATTATGCAATTGCAAACTTCTTTTCGAGTCTTCAGAAAGTAAATTAAATTAGGGTTAGGGTTATAAGGCTTCTCTAAGTAGTCTACAAATTTTAATACACTAACAGACATTTTAAAACAACTCAGGAACATATGTTAAATTTAGGACTATGAAAACGTTTTCCGTATTAAAACTCTGTGACCTATCCCTAGTCTCATTTAACTTGAAACTACAAAATTTTATATCAATTTCTCATATATTTGTCTCATGCCACCTTTCTCACAATTTTATATTGTTTTTTTGCAAATTTGTCATTCCATAATTTTCATCTCCGTCTCCTGAAAAGGTAAATTTATAGATTTTAGATGTATATTTTGTGTATATGTGTGTTAGATTCAAATTAAAGTATAGGTTCAACATAATATATATATATATATATATATATATATATAACTGGTGTCTTATTATTTAAGTTTTAAAGTTCTATTTCCAAATTTTTCTTTGTTTAAAATCATTTTTAACTTTTTTGGATATATAAATTTTTCAGATTTAATGATGGTATATAGATGTATATTTTGTGTATAGATGTATATTTTGTGTATATGTGTGTTAGATTCAGATTAAAGTATAAATTCAACATAATATAACTGGTGTCTTATTATTTAAGTTTTTAAAATTCTATTTCCAAATTTTTATTTGTTTAAAATAATTTTTAACATTTTTGGATATACAGATTTTTCAAATCTGATGATGGTATATTAGATTTCATTAATATACTTATCGAGCACACTTCATCCCAAGTGTTCTCGAGCAGACTTCACTTGAAATCCTCTATGCTAAAATTGGTAATATTTCATTTTCCAACTAGTTTAATATTGTGTGTGTTAAATCTGAAGAAATTTATTGATTCAACTTAGTGTAACTGTTTTTTCATTATTTTAGTTTTCAAAATTTTATTTTTCATAGTTTCATATTTCTCTCTACAAAATAAATTATAGATCTTTATACCTATGATGGTTTTATTTGTTTTTGTGTGTTTAGATCCAAATAAAACTATAGATTCAAACTTAATGTGGTTATATATGTTTTAGTTATTATTATAGTTAAAAAGTTCTAGATTCGAACAATACTTTCATATTTGAAGCTGCTTTTAACATCTTGTATCTGATGATTTTTTTTGAATTTCAAAACTTCCAGATCTAAATCCCATGTACCAGATTTCATTAGCATATTTCATCAGTAAACTTCACCGGTAGACTTCACTGGTAAATCATTTTTGATGCAATATTAATTAAACTTGTATGTTTGTTTTACTATTGTAATTTGAAACTTTTCTATAATCATCGATTTTCTATGTTTGCTTATATAACTACTAGCAAAATTAAAATAATTAAGAATTTCAAAGTTAGATTATGTTCAAAATAATATAAGCATGCAAATAATAACAAAAATAAGTTATACTTATAAGATACAAATTTATATCACAATCTCAAACATATCAAATTTTAAAAATAACAGTTGGCATAATTTTAACATAACAAAACTCATGGTCATAAGTTCAACATAACAAAATTAAAAAATAATATCTGACATAAAGTTCAACATAACAAATATACATAAACCACACAAGGAATTATAGAGATATCATGTTCAAAAAAGTTTTATGGTCCCATTAGCTACAACCAAAAAACAAAAATATTGCTAATCTCATAATCATAAAACATGAAGTTAAAAGGTCTATAATTGAAAAATGCACATAATTAACAAGAAAATATTTAAAATCATGTTGAATTTAAAGAAAAGACAAGTTTACTAAAATTAGTGGAGAAAACTTCACAAGAAGTATTCTATGAAAACATTAAGTTGGAAAATTCATTAAAAACTCCATAATTAACAAATACACATGATTTAACAAAACAAAATCTGAAAAATCATTTTGAACTTGAAGAAAAGACAAGTTTACTAAGAAGGTTTCAGGTGAAGTATGTTCTCATTAAATTCAAACATAAAGAAACAAGTTTACTAAGAAGGTTTAGATATGTATTTTTGTGTGTTCTATAAAAGTAGATCAATTTAATCTCACTCATTTTCTCTGTTTTCAAGTCATTTGAACGTTTTTTGATATGCATATTTTTTTGGATCTGGATTTGGATATGCAAATTTTTCATATCTGGATCAGATGTTGGAAGACTTCTGAGAAGTCTTCTCAGAAGTCTTCTAAAATATAATACGTTAGAAGAATTCTAGGAAGTCTCCTAGAAGATTTCTAGAAGACTTCTTGGAAGTCTTCAGATGGAGTCTTCTCCCATGTCTTATTTTCGTTACATATATGAGTGTTTTGGTAAATTTTTATGTCTGATTTTTTTTTTCGTTTGATAACCTTATGTTCCATAAATCTCTTATTTTTTTCTGAAAATAAAACTCTCCAAGCCCACTCTAGTCTCTTTGAATTTGAAAACACCAAAATTTATATAAATTTTTTATTTTTGTCTCATGTCTTTCTTACTTATTTATCTTTTTTTTTGTTGCAGGTTTTTAATCAGATGGTTCTCATCTTCCACTTGGATATGTATTTTGTGTGTTCAATAAAAGTATATCTATCTAATCTTCCATTCATTTTCTTTGTTTTAAGTCATTTAAATGTTTTTATATGCAGGTTTTTCAGATCTGGGTTTGATATATAGATTTTCCAGAACTGGATCAGACTTTGGAAGACTTATGGGAAGTCCTCTAGAATATAATACGTTAGAAAACTTCCAGGAAGTCTTATGACGGAGTTTTCTCCCATGACTCTTCTTTCATAACGGATCTGAGTGTTTTGGTAAGTTTTCGTGTCTGATTTTTCTTCATTTAGTAACCTCTTGTTGCATAAAGCTCTTAAATGTTTTCCCAAACTCAAATTCTCCAACCTCTTTCTAATATCTTTAAACATGAAAACACCAAACTTTATATCAATTTCTCATTTTTTTTTTCTGTCATGTCTTTCTTACTAATTTATCTTAGATTTGCTTGTCTTTCATATCTAAGTCAGACTTATGAGAAGTCTTCTCAGAAGTCTTCTAAAATATAATGTGCTAGAAAACTTCTACTTATAGAAAGTCTTCTGGAGGACTTCCTGGAAGTCTTCTGACGGATTATTCTCCCATGACTCCTCTTTCATTACAGATCTGAACGTTTTGGTAAGTTTTCATGTCTAATTTTTCTTCATTTAGTAACCTCTTGTTGCATAAAGCTCTTACCTTTTTCCCATACTAAAATTTTCCAACCTCTCTCTAATCTCTTTAAACATGAAAACACCAACTTTTATATCCAATTTTCATTTTTTTCTCATATCTTTCTTACTAATTTATCTTGAATTTGAAAGTTTTTCAGATATGAGTCAGACTTTGGAAGACTTATCGGAAATTTTCTAACATATAATGGGCTTCCAAGGTGGTCTTTGTGCAGGAATGATCTATAATAGTTTTGTTTGTGGTCTATTTTGTGATTTGTATGTGTACTCATTTAATTGTAATTGTTTTTGTAAAATTGAAAAAATATTAATGAATTTTTTTGGTAAATATGTTTATTCTCCACAATATTATCTTGCTAAAATTACTTGTCATTATTGAAGTTATTGATACAACTTCAATAGCAAAACACAATGACACACAAATTAATCAAATTTATTACAACTAAAGGAGAAGAATTCTCAAGAAAACTTAGTCAAATTCACAAAAGATCAAACATAACATAAGTTCAAAGATACAACACTTTCACGAGAAAATCTTCTGTGAAGTCTTCTGGAACTCGTCTCGGAAGACTTAAATTTAGAGCAGATAATTTAAGCAGGAAACTCGAAATTTTAAGTGAAAATTGAAATTTCAAATTTCATGAAAGTTAAAAAGTATATCTAAGAAGCTACTTAACACTTTTGAAAATTAAATAAACATATCTTAAAGTTACTTAAAAATTTTACCAAAACTAAAGTAGAAGACTTCTGTGATTTTGTATGAATATACCCCCGTGAAGTCTTCATAATTTATAAATTTTGTAAAACAATATTTTGATAGAGAAAAAATTGAAATCATGTAATTATAAGAAGACACATTAAACCATATATGACTGATATTCTTGAAGTTACTAAACACTTTTTAAAGTTAAAAAATATATCTTAAAGGTGAAAAAACAAGTCTTACAAAAGCAACGTAGAAGACTCCAGAAGTCTTCTCTTATTAGCTAGAAACATTAATAAGCATGAATGCTGTTAACCTCATAAATATCACCAATTAAGTTATGAATTTCATTTAGGCTATACATGAATTAACAAGAAAATGTTAAAATATTTTTTATAGTTTCAGAGAAATTAATGTTTATTAAACATTATTGTAGACTTTTAGGAAATCGTCAAAAAGTATGGTTTTTGCAATTGAATATTTACCAAAGAAGAATTCCAGAGAAATCTACTCTACATCAGACTTCTTCGGAAATCTTCCTTTGTAAATATTGGTTTACTTTTGTTTTTGATTTTTTTTTGAAACTTCGAGAGAAGACTTCCTTGTAAGTCGTCTATGATAAACATGTTAGTTTTTCATTTGACCACATTGCATCAGAAATTTGATTTTTCCTAGACGATTTACAGGGAAGTCATCCACAGAAAATTAAACTTCAATATTTAATTTTTGTTAGACGACTTCCATGTAGGTCATCTCGGGTTACTTTTAAAATTAAAAAATAAAGCTTAAATCTTTAATTTTATCTGGACGAGTTACATATAAATCTTCAGGTAGACGAATTACACGGAAGTCGTCTGTGGTAACCAAGGTTTGACCAGAATCTCGGAATAAAATCCTGGAAGACTTCTGTGTAAGTCATCCATTGGGATTTATATGTAACTCGTCGAGATAAAATTAAATATTTAAGCTTTTTTTTTTTAATTTTAAAAGTAACCCAAGATGACTTACATGGAAGTCGTCTAACAAATATTAAATATTTAAGTTTTATTTTCTGTGGATGACTTCCCTGTAAATCGTCTAAGAAAAGTCAAATTTCTGACACAATGTAGTCAATCTGCATTGACCAGAAACTTTTGTGTATAGAAAACTTACACGGAAGTTTTCTGACGGAAAAAATCTGGAAAAAAAATTGATTTCATACCTTAAATTTGTGAGAAAACTTCTTTACCACACAAAAGTCTTTTTCAAGCACCCAAAACCTCAAACGAAAGTGACCACCAAGAATCGTGAATTTGAATGGCTCTATGAACCTTAAAAAAATATTAGAATCAAAATTTTGGAGTTTTGGATGAATATAGAGAGAAAGTGAAAGATATGTTTTTTTCGTTCTTATGAAATGAGATAGAAGGAGAAAAAAATCGATTTTAGGTGCATTAAGAGCTTCAAATTGGTTGTTCATGGTGGTTGGTGTATTGATCGCAATGGAGATATTGTAAATACTTGATGACGATGAGGATGATTGAGTAAAATACTCAAGTTTTGAAAAAAAAATAAAAAAATGAAATTTTTGTGAATAATCCAAACTTTTGGTGTGAATATAGCAAGTCAAAGTTCCAAACAATATGGGTTAGATATGTGTTTAACTTTGAGTTTTAGTCATATTTGCTAGAAGCCATAAATTAATTAATTATTTTTGACCAAAATATAAGTTAATTATATTGCAACATTTAATACTTTATACCATATATATATATATAAATATATATATATATATATATATCTTATATTCTCTCAAGATTTTATTTAATTTTACTTTCCGGTTTTCCTTATTAAAAAATATCTTTACTTTTTTACTAAAACCATATTAATCATTTTAAGATATAGTTATATGTTCAAACTAGATTTGATCAAAACCGAGTTGCATTCTTGGTTTTACTTTGGCTAACATGTTCTTAAAGTTTTAAAATATCTAACCATATTCAAATTTTTCGCATTTATTTCTAATATTTACATTTTCTTAAAACATATCAAAATAACTCATAATTATATCAATCAATAAATATAGATTAATAACATAATATATAAATTATTTTATAAATTATAATTTATATAATTAATTATATTTAAAATAAAAAATAACACATATGTAGTGATTCATAGATCTAGATGAGAAAATCATTGAATATCTTATAATTAAGTTAGTCTAATTGAGTGAAACCAAGAACCCTTAAATAATTAAGTTATAACTAACGGTATGACTCCTAAATGAGACGGATTTGAGTTAAACAATTTACTTATTTTAACATCTGTAATAATATGTTTATTGTATTTTAATTAGATTTTTACAACGGAAAATTTCCTGCACTTTTAAAATGCGGTCAAATTCGAGTTAAGTTATAAATTTCATTATGAAGCTTCACGATTAACAAATATAAATGACTGAACATTAAAATCTTAAACATTCATTTTGAATTTACAGAAAATACAAGTTTACTAAAATTAATAGCCAACACTTCACTGAAGTCCTCTGGAGCAGACTTCACCCCAAGTCTCATTTTAAGTATTTTCATTTACAAATTATCGAATAAAATCTTCTCAAGACGTCTTCACAAATAAATAGAATTCTTGAGAATTCTTGTTTATAAATTACTGGGATACTTTTTTGTGTGGATTCTCAGCATAGACTAGTCTCGTATTATAGTTAGTTAAATTTGCAGTCAACTGAAATCATGTAGAAATTTAACATTTCCAGAGCATACTTCATATGAAGTCTCTCTCTATCGTCACATGAAATCTCCAAAATGTAAGGAGAAATCTTCTAGGGAGCAGCTGACCATGATTGAACTTATATGGGAAAATTTCAGAAGAAGTCTTCGAGTGAGAAACTTCCCACAATGTGTTCTCTCAACCAGATGCTTGACCAAAATCTTGAATAAAAAACAAGCTGATATCTCCTAAAATATGCTGATTAATTAATTTCTAATTAAATATTTTATTATTATTTTTAGTTGTTAAATTGACTTGAGTAGATTTCTTGTGACATGGATATTTCTCAAGAAATCTGCTATAAAAAAAAAATACCAATTATCATATAATTTTAGTTAAATTAAAAATAACTTTGTTTTTATGGAGATTTTGCCAAAAGTTTACTTTTTTTTTCTTATAAAGAATAATTAGTAAACTTCTCCAAAATTCTATTAAGAAAAAATGGTCAATTACAAAACTAACCTATGCATTGAGCTATTGATCATTATACTTACTCCATAAGTGTTCTTGGTATAGTAGACCTCCGAAAAAATCTTCTACATGAAACGTATCTCAAAATTTTGAAAATTTCACCTAAATCTAGTGAGAATTCGTTCTTAGTTTCTCCAAACATCTACACTAACTTAAATTCACAGGTGTACACACTCATTATTGACCAAGAATCATCAAACTTGAGTGAAAATGTAGTTCTGAAATCAAAACTTTTGATTTTTTTTATATGAAATAAGATAAATGATTTTTGTGTGTGTAAGAAATGTGATAATAAATGTAGAAAATGATTTTAAGTTTATTTAGGTTTAGATTTTGCTGTTGTTGATGGTGGTTTGTGATATCGATGATAGTGACATTTTCGTAAATAAATGAATATGATGAAGATGGTGCATATTTATTTTTATCACAAATATTAATAAAATATATTAAATTTCAGTATTAGTACATATTTTTGTGATTGTCTATTTTCCATAATTTTAAACTATTAAATTTAGTAAATGCCATTAATATTTTTGAAGTTTACAATTAATCATTACTATATGACAAAAATGCATTAAAAATGCAAGTAACCGGAAATATTATTGTAAAACCGAACAATCAAAATTAAAAAAATAAACCTGTATAACCAAGTGGTTGATAGAACCATTGGATTCTAAAGATGTTATGACAGGTCCATTCACCATTTTTGGCTTATCCAGAATCTGTGTGTGTGTAAAATCGCCTGAAGCCAACATCTATGTCTCTCTTTGTAAAATGGGCGCTTCAAGACTAACACTTCCCTTCTTCAAACTCCATCATCAACCAAACCCTCTACTTAGCTGCAACATATTATCTAACCAAACACTTCTAAGATTCCACTTTTCACCTTCAAAACCTCTCTCGATCTCTTCACACGACTGCTCTCGACGATTCAAAGTCCTGCCGGAGACCATATCGCCGTCAAATTGGAAGAGGACAACGAACATAAAACTGCTAATCGTAATCATGTGAATTCTCTAAACATTCCCGATGTAGAAACTTAGCATTCTATATGATACTCTGATATGATACTACACAAACATTGTGGAATCATTTTGAGCCAACCAAACTAATCAACTCAAAGATAAAAGAGTTTTTGTACTTACAGGTTTGGTAATAACTAATCAGTACCAGTCCACTTGCCCACATGATTCTGTGCCCATTTCAAGGCTGCTACGCGGCTTTTGGTCCTCATGGTATACTTGTATGCAGTGTCGATGAAAGAGTGTAATTCCCTAAATCTGTTAAGATATCACGGTGGGAAAAAATTAAAACTGTTATAATACAAAGGTTATAGTCAATCAAAGCTTTAATCATTTTTCCGTCAACAAAAAAAACCTAATGAAGAATATTCCTAAAAGATCACTGATAGCGTTTTCAGTAACTCAGGAGCCAGTCATAGTGATCTCTGTTTGAGAATTAAGCCTTGAAAGCTAGTTACAACCATACTAGCGTTCTTAATCAAAACAGTTCGTACCTAACATTCTTTCTAAGTCAAAATATGTTTCATTGACCTTGTCAAAGGCCAGAACGAAACAGCTCATAATTACTCTAAGCTAGAGAACTGAAGCTCATAATCCTCAGCTTTAGAGCTATAGCTCAATGATTTTAGAGAACACATACACACCAAACGGTCCAAAGAAATCCTCAGTGTCATTAATTGCAGAGCTAGCCTTCATTGTCCCATATATTAGACATGAATTCCACATCACAATTCACAACACAAATCGACATTGAAACATTGAGAGGTTCTATAAGTCCTTAAACTCTAATCATAAGATAGACTGAACTTAGAAAGAGAGACAACTGATCAAAACTATAATGAAATTTTTTAAAATAACACCAGAAGGGAAAAACAAACAAATCAAGGATACAGAGGTACGAGCCTATAGAACAGATCCTGTTCAAGTAAGGTCGTGACCAATACCTTCATCTCAGCGCTTTATAAACAGTACCGCTTCTCCGTGTGTGTCCCATGTGGGAGAAATAAAGAACTTCATTCACCCAATACGCTACCGTTTCATAGCTCAGCGCACTAATGCATTTGATACGCCATCGTTTAGTTACTGTCTGTGAAATAAATGTTTTTCTTCTCTGAATCAGAATCTCATTTTGCTTAAAACCCTAAAACCCTTTAAGGATTAGGTTTAGCCATCTTATCCGCCTTGAGTTACTTGTGATTTCCGATGATTCTCTCACGCTCAGTCTCTGTTCTTCATTCCTGTGGAGTTTCCTCTTCGCCGAAACTCATATCCCATAAGCTTAAAGTGGTCTCGTTTTCTCTCGCTTATAGTTCATCTGCGTCTTTCCGTTTTATCTCTCTGAACCGATCTGAACGAAAATGGGCTCGTGGGTTTGCGTCTGCTACTGAAGCTGAAGTAGTAGAGATAAAGGGTAATGATACGTTTTATGCGGACCAAGCTGTTTCATGGAAGTCTCTCGGCTTGTCGGATAAGGTCTCCCTGGCTCTACAAAATTGTGGGTTCGGAAGACCTTCTCTTACTCAGGTAAAGTTTTGTCTTTTCTTACAGTGAATTTGGTGAACCACTTGTTGATATTGTGAAATGATGAGTTAATTATGTCGCTTTTATGTAATTTCGGATTATGAAGAAATTGAATTAATAACTTTGATAAGCTGGATAAGTTGTGGAAGAAAAGAGATAATCTTTATATTACCAAGTTGAAAGGCTTTACTTTCAAGTGTTTTACTGTTACTCTTTCACCTGTTAGGCTGTTTGCATACCATCGATATTGTCCGGGAAAGATGTGGTTGTTGCAGCAGAAACCGGCAGTGGCAAAACACATGGATATCTTGCTCCAATCATCCATCAGTTAACCAATACCAACACCGTTCTTGATTCAGAGCTTACGGATGGAGAAGAAAGGCGGAATCCACTTAAGAGTATCTCTCTTGTTCTGTGTCCTAACGTGATGCTCTGTGAACAAGTTGTTCGGATGATTAATGGTCTTCTTGGAGAAGATGGTAGTCCACTTCTCAATGTTGAAGCTGTTTGTGGGTCCCAGGTAACCATACTCACGCCGAGAAGCAAAACAATTGTCTGTCTTTGTGTTCTATATCTGTAGCTGAATATGGGAAGTTGTGTGTTTGCTGCAGGGCTGGCCAGATAAACAGCCTGATATAATTGTGTCGACGCCTGCTGCTCTTTTGAATAACATTGAGCCTAAAAGAAACAGGCGTGTTGAGTTCCTTCGATCTGTCAAATATGTGGTATGGTTTCTTTGTTTGGAGTGGTGTTGAATGGTGTTATGAGCACTTTTGGGATTCAATGTTTGGATATCACTTGCAGGTGTTTGATGAAGCTGATATGCTTCTCTGTGGAAGCTTCCAGAATCAGATTATCCGTCTGATAAACATGCTGCGTTTTGATGAGAAACAAGTGTCTCGTTTGGCCACTTCCAAATTTGGAAAACCATTGGAGATCGATGCAGAATCTTTAGCACAGTTTGATTTAGAGAATGAGGACGATGCAGATTTCGAAGAAGACGGGTCTATCTCTGAAGAAGAGGAAGAAGAGTATCTTGATGATACCACACAAATCCCCACCGTTGAAAATGGAACTGGTCCTGATATTAGAAAGGGATGGAGAAGAGTGAGAAAGATCTATACACGTAGCAAGCAGTATATTTTCATTGCAGCCACTCTTCCAGTTAACGGGAAGAAAACTGCAGGAGGACTTTTGAAACATATGTTTCAAGATGCTGTCTGGGTTAGCGGGAGCTTTCTTCACCGTAACAGTCCTAGGTGAAAGCTTCTCTCACTCATAGTATTATTTTGTTAGCCTACTTCGACTTAGAGTTGTGATTGTCTTTGCTATGTTGTAGACTTGAGCAGAAATGGATTGAAGTCACAGTGGATACACAAGTTGATGCTCTCATAGAGGCTGTAAAGAACACCAATAGCAGCACAGACAGGACTATGGTGTTTGCAAATACCGTTGAGGCGGTTGAAGCAGTAGCTGATATATTGGAGAAAGCCAGTATCCAGTGTTATCGTTATCACAAGAACCATACACTTGAAGAACGTGCTAATATATTAGCTGATTTCAGAGAAAACGGTGGTGTCTTTGTTTGCACTGATGCAGCTGCACGTGGAGTTGATGTGCCTAACGTCTCACACGTTATTCAGGTTACTTTTCAAATTTCAACTCACACACACTTTGAAGTACTCACATCGCTAAACCTTTGTGTGATTTGCAGGCGGATTTTTCCAGTTGTGCGGTGGATTTTCTTCACAGGATAGGTCGAACAGCTAGAGCTGGCCAATACGGAACGGTGACAAGTTTGTACACTGAGGCTAACCGTGATTTAGTGGAAGCAATCCGTGAAGCAGTGAAGACGGGTCAGCCAGTGGTATAACCTCTATAAAATCTCACATGAATCTACCTTCTGGCCACCTAGCAATGGCAATAACCATAGCATATTATTTCTGGTAATTCATCCTTGTGTTATGTCTATATGAAATATTCAGGAAACTGCATTTAGCAGGAAAAGAGGTTTCAGGAACAAGCTTAAGAAGAGAGGTAAGAAACTAAAATCCATTTGTGCAAAACATTGTGAAAGATAAAAAGCTGAAATAAAACTAAAAGCATTGTGTTTAATGTGTCAGCGTTCTTGAAAGCCGGAGAAGCAAAGGAGTCTCAAGCTGTACGAGCTTAAGTAGTATTATGTTGTTCTTTTAGTTCCATTTCCATAAGTTTTGTTGTATATAAAACCACCTCAAAATCAGTTAAGAATTTCTATCACTTTGTTTCAATAAAAAGAGAGAATATGATCCCCACATTTTTTCTTCAAATTTCAGCTTAAGCATTGTGTTTTGTGTTTAATGTTTTCATATTTTTCGTCTGCAGTTATTTTCTTTTCAAGGGACAAATACATGTGATAAATTTTCCATTGTCACTTTGATAAATATAGGTTCTGTTCGTTTGCATCGACCAGTTGCAAATTGTAATTTACAATTGCGAAAAGAGTAGTGACAAAAAAAAAAGAAATTTATGTGACTCTACTATAAAAAAGTAATGACTAAAAATTAAAATTTATGCAAACGAGTATAGCCATACATGTTTTGACTTGATAAAGCTGACTGTATGAAAACAGCAAAATAAGTCGAAGGCTAAGAGAAAAAACAAAAGAGGTAAACAAAATTAATAGTAGCACAAAAGCCTACCAATCTTCACACCTTCCTCAGTGTATCACATTCGAAAACTATGGTTGGATAAAAAAAACTGCACACCGATCCATGCATGATCAGCCTCTTTAGAAAATATCTCGACATGGTTAGGGTGCTCATCTGAATGCCTTGGATAAACTCCATGAGGGCTGTCCATTCTATGCAAAATATTTGTGTCAAATTTTCAACTCCAAACAGAATCGAGATGATATGGGGCAGCCAGAAAGACTCGTGCCTCTGGCCCTCTGCTTCCTAGCATATCACAAGCTAAGGAAGCCTAAGGTAAACCCCAAAAAAAAACGTCAACAGTCCAGACAACAGCTAAGGAAGCTTTTGGACAAAGACATACCAGAATCGTCACTGGAAGCAACGACTCTAGTTAAAGAAGTAAGCAAATTTCCGAGTCCAATGGTTCCGACAACAGATTAACTCAACATCGGAAAAACCCGACAACCAGAGCAAAGTTGATACGACTAAGGCAGTCGATGTTCTGCTCAACGAATAATCATTCTAAGCGAAATCAATAATGAACTACGAGCAGCTTGGTCTTTGAAAGAAGTACATAGGCAGCCTATCAAGAAATGGTTAAGTTGTCCTCCTTTCAAAAACTGGAGGAATGGTACTTTGTTGGGAATGTCCTAAAAATCTATTGTACTAATTCTTCTTGTTTTGTTAAAGTCGTCAAGACTGACAATCTTATAAAATTAGGTGGTTATAATGTTTTGTTAGAAACCATTTATAATCTTTAAATTGGTAATATATTACTATTTTTATATTATCCTATAAAATCACACACCTAAGCAAATTGAGTCAAATAATAGTTGATTTAAGTTTAGATTAAAATCAATATTGGGTTTATGAATAATCATATATATGATATATGGAATCTTATAATATGCACACATGCGTAATGGGTTACAATGGGAAGAAATTAATAATTGGGCCAACCCAATTATGTGACCGTAGTATAGGTCAACGTCTCCCAAATATATGCATGTTATAAGATGAAGATATACCGGTAGACGTTTGAAGTGCTAAAAATCTCGACTTGATTTATTCATCTCTCCACTACAAATAACAAGGTATATTCAAAAACCCTAAAGATCTAAATTTATTTCAGTATTTGCATGAAATTCTAGGCATATAGAATTCATAGATTTATTTATAAATCGTTATAAACCAATATGAATTCTTTCAGTGGTGCTAGAACCTACTTGTTTTAATGAAATTGAATCTTATTTGGTTTATATATTGTTATAGATAAATAATTTTGTACGATCTTGTTAAATTGTTGATTGATCGTGTTTGCATAAAATTATGATTATAATCTGATTGTAATTGTGCGCTTTGGAATTGTTTCAAGTCATTTGTGGATATTTTCAACCTGTGCATGTGAAATTAATGATTCATGCAAGAATATTAATTTAGTCACCCAGAATTGTTAGTACGGTTGATTAGGGTTTTGAATAATCTAATATGCACTAGTTAGATATCAATGAATTATATATTGTTCGAACCGAGTTCGGTCTACTATCAGTAAGTGAGTGACTGGACTCGTCTGTGGGTATTTTCAAAGGCGTTTTACTATTTTATGAGTGGAAGAGTGAGTTTATTGATGAGAGAGTTCGTATACAAATGAGGAAACAAACGAGACGAGACGGCGCTGCTTGGAAATCTCAGCCGTGAAAGTACAAGTCAGAAAAATACAAAGAGGTGAAAACCCTAGTTCTAGCCGCCTTGTAAATGAGTGCTCGATTTCGGATCCCCCTTCTCGTCATCTCCTCCTCTCCTTTTATAGCATGGTCTGCTCTTCCAATGACCTAGGTCAGCATCCCGTAAAGGGCTTCTCATTAACGGGCCTCCTGGTCGGCCCGTTACGGCGCGTATCACTCGGCTGAGTCTTGTCGTCTAGTCGCGGGGACGAGTGGTATCGGGCCGAGTCGAGGCGCAGCTAGTTATTGGGCCGACCTGGGTCGTCCCTAAATGGGCTCTCCTTGTTATTCGATAGGCCCTGAAGGATGGAGCGATCCACCTCCTACAGTAAGTCCCCCCAGTCTATTGTCGAGCTGCTCGGCAAGTCGGGGATATATTTTAGCAGTTAGGGTCCATCGAGTAACGGGGTCAGGACGCAGAGATTGCTTTAGGCGTGACTCGACGAGACGCCCGCTTCGCGACTTAGCAGGGTCATTGATGCTTTTTCTCATCTTAGGTTCGCAATCGGATTGTTTACTCGCCTCGGTATTATTGCCGAGGCGAGCACTCAACGAATCAATAGGATTGTTCGCTCGTTAACTCACTTCCGAACGATCTGTTCATCGCCTTGCCTTGCCTCGGGTTGTGCACTCGTCTCGACGTTGTTGCCGAGGCGAGCACTCGACGAATCGATAGGATCGTTCGCTCGTTAACTCACTTCTGAACGATATGTTCGTCACCTTGCCTTGTCTCGGGTTGTTTATTCGTCTCGATGTTGTTGCCGGGACGAGCACTCGACGAATCAATAGGATCGTTGTGGGAACCAAAATTCGCACTGTCGATTTCCGTAAAATAAGGAAACTTAGGAAAACCCTAATTTTCCAGAGGACCCGGATCTCTGCGAAAGCCAACGTGAAGTAACCAAATAAATGCGGAAAATATGAAAAACATGATAAAACAAATTTATAAAAGAAATAGATCTTATTTCGACTTCGCGTAAGAGCGTTGCGATCATTACAAGAGATTACAAAGGTTTTGGCCGCAAGGGCCGTCAGCGAGTTACCTAGTTCTAGCAACATAAAACCCTAAACCTATTTGAGTCGTAGCTCGATAACAAAAGATGCAAAAGATAAGAAAAAAGGGTTTTGATTGATTTCGGACTGAACCTTATGAAAGGCTGCTTACGTATCCCTTTCGAGGATCAAGTCGAACGTAGTTCAATTGATAGAGCTGGACAAGAGATCGAACTGCCTGGGCGAGTCCGTCTAGTAATTAAGCGCCAGTCATAAAAACCGAACTTGTCGAGAATAAAGCCTAAGTTTCTAATGTGCAGAGAATTCTAAGTCTATAAAAGTCTTAAAAGTCTGAAATGAGAGCTCTAAAAATCGTCCCTTCTCCTGTCCTCGACCTTCTGCTTATATACTCCTTCTCTAGGTGGTTTGGTCTTTCCTTTTCTGCCTTGATTCATGCTTATCGGAAATCTTCCATTTATCTCGATCTTTCCATTTTTCTTTGGAAAACTTTTATTTACTTTCAGTCTTGACATTTATCCACTCCTGCGGGTAATAGGCAAACCGTCATTGTATCTTTGGGCTGGACCTTATTCAAAGTCACGTGTGGGCCTTTATCGCGTTTTAGGACCTTTCGGGCTGTTTTACGATTTAACCACAGATACAATTCACGACTTTAGACGAGATCGTTTCTTGATACGATGTCATTTTTAAGTAAAAATCTCGAATTAATTGTATAGTTTAGCAATGTGCGCGTCTTTAGTGATCTTTTATAAAAAAATCTCGAGTTAACCGTATAGTTTGGCAATGTTCGGTGTTTCGTTTAACCATTGCCGTTTTATACGATTTACTCGAGGTTTTGCAAGAAAATACGTCTTTTGCGGTTTTTAATAAAACATCTCGACTTAATCGTACAGTTTGGCAATGTTCGGTGTTTCGTTTAACCGTTGCCGTGTTATATGATTTATTCGAGGTTTTACTAAAAACATGCCTTTTATGGTTTTTATCGTATAACTCCAACGGTAAGGCGGATTGAGACGAAACGAAAGACGTTCTGATCATGGTTAAGACTACGATCGAGTCGAGGGGCATAGATGGTTGAACTCAGATCGCCTGTTGGCGATCTGGAAAGATGTGTTCAGCTCGCCAACGGGCGAGCTGGTTACATGTGTGGTTAGCTCGCCCGTTGGCGAGCTGGACAGATGTTTTCAGCTTTCCAATGGGCGAGCTGGACAGATGTGTTCAGCTCGCCAATGGGCTAGCTGGTCACATGTGTGCGGGCGAGCTGGGCAAGTGCGTTCAGCTAAGTTTTGATATTTTCTTGTTTTCTCGACCCGATATCCTTGCGGAGAACATAAGGAGAAGTGTCCGTAGGTGTTGATTCTGATCTTAACAATAGTTTTAATATCTCAGGGAGTTTGGATGTTACGGCCGTTTTTTGTTAACTTAGCCAATAGAACAATCGCAAGAATACTATGTTCGGAGAATCCTTAGATTTGTTCTCTACGCTTTTTCGTATTTTTAAAACCTAATCTTATACTTGCGGAAATTTTTGGTCGTTGGTTCCGTCGTAACCGATTTTGACCCTAGCAAACAAGGAGGTCTTTTTGATTATTCATACTTTGATACGAGTTTTCCGTAACTTCGTATCTCTGTAGTAAGTCTATAGTTTCTTGTACGCTTTTTCCGGGGGTTTTAACCCTTGATTCCGTCGTGACCGATTTTGACTCCAACAGTTAGCCCCCCAGCTCGTTAGAACCTTGCGCTTTTAGTGTGAGGTTCTAGCGAGGGTTTAGACAATTTTAGGCAAGTTAGGCGGAATTTATGGTTGAAAACTGCCGTTGAAAGTGGTCTTCCCACTCTCATTGGAATGGAAAGCGGTAGGATTGGGGCTGCGACTAGTGAAGGCTGCCTATGTACCCTCTTGAAGGGATCAAGCCTTTCGTAGTTCAT